GGGGGGAGGGGGGGGTGTGCAGGGCTATTTTGTAGCACATCTGCCAAAAAGAGTGGCACCCTGATGCACAGCACCATGACTCACCAGTGTCTAGATTTTGTTGCAGTGATTCTTTAAGGTAAGATGTTTGGGTTTTTTTTCTGGAAGACAAGGAGAGTAAGTGCAGAGGTAGGATTACAATGGAGGTCATTAAGAAAGCTCTGAAGGTAGTGAGGAAGTTTACTGTAGCATTCTGAGAAGATGCAGACAGAGAGCAAGGAAGAAAAGGGGTTTTCAGATTAGACTTGAAAACAGACAAGAGGCCTGTCTACATTAGAGACCTGAACTATCACAGTTTAAAATAATTTTTTAAAGCATTTGCTTTGCCCTCACACAGTGCAACCTCCAACTATTGTTGGAATTGTTAATTGTACATTGCTCAAAAACCTATACAATCTCCCCTTTGGGGAACTGTCTGATGCAAACCTGTAAAGTACATGGTGAGGTGCGAGTATTTGGAATTTCCCCCTAGAAACAGATGCTTTATTTACTATGCCATGAGGCATACACTGTACTAAAAGTGCATTTCTAACTGAATGTTTCATATTAGTACAGAGGCTCACAGGTGGTCTCGGGCAGAAACCCAGCAAAGAACTAGAAAAATGAACTCACGGACTGCTGTACTAATGACACTGCTTGGGAATTAAAGACTTACGTTCAAGACACTGTGGCTTAACTGATGCTCAGTTCAAGTAAAATTTTGGGGTGAGAAGCATGCCCAATTACTGGCGAAGCAAGGGCACAATGGAGACCTGGGATGAAGAGTCACGGCTACAGAATTTCTACTAGACCAAGGATATCTTCTTCCTTCTCCTGAGGGCCTTGCTAAAACAACAGCATCTCATAAGAGCTCCTCACTCAGCACAACTGCTCAGTAAAAAATAGTAATCCCAGGCACTTATTGCTTGATACAGACATTTCAGGGCTGAATGTCCACAGTGGCCTGCTGGACTGAAAAAAACAGACAGCAGTACAGGTTTATGTAGAAAATGTCATCTCAGGTGTAAAAATACCTCTGCAAGAGCACTCAAATATTGCAAACTGGCTTGTACTGTGAAGACAGAATCAATGTTCTGATTTTATGCCACAAAAACAATATGTAATATTTCCAGGATGTAAACTGTGCTAGATCAGATAGGAGCCTGGATGTTCAGACAGGCTGGCAGGTTAAAGGGTATGATGCCCATAGCTGAGAACATTAGACTGTTCCGAAGTAGATGGAATACAGTAGGGAGATCACCTTACTGCAATCACTTTACCACAATAATCATTAAGTCCTGCTGAGACTTTTAGAGATCCTGTTCAAGGAAATCCCACTCTGATTATATTGACAGTTTGTCAACCATTGCCTTCACAATGGAAGGACAGAGGTGGTATGTGCCTTTTTAAGGCTCAAAGCAAACAGAAGGTTTCTGCTGAACAGAAACACCACTGCCATGCAAAAAACACCTCCTGCATTATTTCAACCAACTGTACTTTGCTTCCAAAATAAATAAATAAATAAATAAATAAATTAGTGTAAAGAAGAAAATGGTTTCATCCTGAATGAACCAACCAAGCTAAGAATGTTTACCATCCAAAGCTTCAAGACTAGCAGTCCTGATCCAGTATTAAATCACAAGCTTTTCAAGGACTCTTCATGCCAGGCACCATACAAGCATCAGCACAAGTGGACCTAGATCCTAAATAGGGATCTGGGCATTAATGTGATCACAATTGCTTAGTTTTGTAAATCCCCTTTATTCTGATTGACAAGGTAAGAAACAGAAACTGTAGATGTTAAATCAACTTGCTTATTAAATTGAAAAACATTTGAGATCTAGCCTTAAAAACAGCACCAGCACAGAACAAGGAACACTGCTATCAAAACACACAGCATTTTTGTTATAACTTAACTAATATCATGCCTCACAAAACAGCAAAAGGGAGAAAGGAAAGCTGAAATGGGTTTTTAGTGTATCCAAGTCAGAGACCACAGTGCGCAAAGGTATCTGTAAGATGACATATCCAAGGAATATTGCTCTGTTTCAAACTGTCACATTCTGTCTCCATGCAGAGCACACTGATGCCATTTATGGTTCTCCTCTGCAGTCTCTGCTGCCTTTCACAACCAGTTAGGTCTGCAAAGTCACCCTGCTGTTTTCAAGCTCAACCTGCTTCCAGTCTTCTTCTTTTCCCTTGGCCAAACCAGGTCCCATCCTTCTTTCATCTAAGGAAAGGGTCTTCTCAATCTTTTTCTTTGGTATAGGCTGTGAAACAGATATGTACTAGATACCTAATATGCCTTCTTTTAGATATGCTCTATCATCCCTTCTAACAGCAATATTACGTCCGTGTGTGTCAAACATGACATGGCATGTATGAAGATAAGCTGTTTTCAGCAACAGTAACATTTATGCCACTGAATTTTTCACACTGGATTTTTCTCTCTTCACTTGATCTTTGATTCCTGCTGAACAGCCTCATGGAAGGCACAACACATAATGGAGAATAAGATGATTTTTTTTATCACCTTGACCATGAAGGGATTTGCAGCATGGGATCCTTAAAATTAATTTGCTTCACATATTTATAATGTAACCTGATGGTGACACTACAATAACCCATAGGTGACGCATAGGAGTAGGGGACATCCCCCCCACCCTGAGAGTGAGTGCTCCGGCCAGTAGGAGGCACACAGAGCACTTGTGCCCCCCCTGAAATTGGCTCTGCTGACAGCAGCAGCAGTGCCAGCACTTCCGCCACTGCCAAGCTCAGCAACTGGCTGCTGGGGGACCCCTCTCACCAGCTGGCCGCTGGAGGACCTCCCCACCCCCAGGTCATGCCTCACTGGTGCCCCCCCAGACTCAGGAGGCACCAGTCACCCATGCAGTAACCTACAGTGCCCTGCTTGCAGAGATCCAAGGTCACCCTAATAAACTGGGCTCTACAACTGAAACCAATGGTCCTTACCGAGCCAAATACCACTTCAGGTTTAGTTTAGTCCTACTGCCCCCAGGGGAAAGTGGACCAATTCATGAATTTGGGGTCAACATACAGTTCAATTCCAAAAGCCTATGCCATGGCTATCCACATGCAGCCTGCGAGGGGTTAAGGTGAAGCAGGCAACCCTGGGGCCACATGGGCATGTAGTGCAGGGGGAGGGTAGAGTGGCACCCACAGAAGTGCACAGTGCAGCAGTGGAGGGGTACCTGCAGAGGCACACAGTGCAGCAGGTGGAAGAGTAAGGGGGACATTTCTTAGCTTTGTATGACTCATGGGTGTGCAACCCCTTGCTGCTTACAAATTAGACAACGCTGGCCTAAACCACTCAGCATATACCACTGATATGCTGGGTGTTTCTACATTTTTAGCTTTTTAATTTTTTGGATGCTATTCACAACTGTATTTAGCAGTCAGTGGGAAGTGAGCAGACATCTTTGTGCTTCCTCTCAAGAGCCAGTCTTCCTGCCACAACACATATATAGGTAGGTTACAAGGAGGTCCACAGCTCAGGCATGATTTTGGTCACAAGAATGTCTGGGACTGGCTGCAGAAAACTATTCCCATTCATTGAAAGTGGAAAAAACAATGGCATTTCTACAGAAGAAGTCACAGCCGAGAAAGGATCCTATGCTCTGCTGTGCTTTTTCCAGGGTAGAGGAAGGGAATTTCTGGGTGTCCCATTGATGTTTAGTACCACCAGTGTAATCCATTTCCCAACAGCAGTTCCACAGGTTCCCTGATCCCTATCACTGTGTTGCTCATTGATGAACTTATCCCCACCTCCCACACCACCATTTTATAGGGTACACTGGTGATGCCAGCAACACTTTATGACCGAGGTGTGGCAGCTCACTGTAAAAGGGACAGGATAGCTTTCCTATGCCAGCAGATCAATTGTTATTCTCTGTCTTACTGAATTTGTTGTTAGGCTCTTAGTTTTGTCCTTGCCTTGGTCAGGGCTGCAACTGACATACAGACTGGCTAGATGCTGGAATGCCTTCGCATACAGCAAAGGTTTTTCCAGTTGATGAGATCCAGTCCAAGGTGAATACCATCCATACCACTCAGGAAGATTAGGAAGTCTCCCTCAAACCAGCTAGCTACATAATTACATGTCAGCTTATTTGCAAAAGGCTGTTTCCATACTAGTGCATAGCCTACACAAAGCATGTGGTGCGTCTCAAATAAGTAGCTGCCGATGACAAGAGACATGATATTACCCAAGAAGAACACAGGCCATTACAGACAAATAACAGATGTCCCAGACCCAGGCTCTGCAGTACGGTCAAGGCAGGGAGCAAAAACAACTTTTGCCCAGAAACGGTGAAGCTGCAGCAATGTCAACACCTCAGCTGTCTGGTGCTGTTTACATTCAACTAGTGAGAGCAGAAATCTCCTTAAGGCTTCTTTTGAGATACTGGAACTAAAACAGCACTGGCAAACCTTTTAAACATCAGCAGCAGCAGCTGTATGAGAATGGTTTGGAGTCTTTAAAGTTTCTTTATTTTTAATAGGATGTGGACAGACCGAAAAGGACAGAAGCACAACTTCTGCTGCCTAGAAGACCAGCCAAAGCCTGACGTAACTGGGAAGGTCACCAAGGCAACACAGACAGAAGCAAGTCCATTGAGGGCTTTAAAAGCTAGAGGTATTTAAACTCCATCTCAAGATGAACAGAAAAGATTCTCAGAAGCCAATGGCCGGAGGCAGCAGAATCAAAGCCTGAAGAGCAGGAGGCACATGCAGGGGGGAGGAAGGCAGCTGATGTTTTAAAACTTATAGGAAGGGATGGTTGTGCCCAAATCCTCAAGTTCCAGTTCCACAAGCTACCCCTGCCTCCATGCAGGCAACAGGCTGCCTGTCCCCCCTCAGGGCAAGGCCCTTGTGCCTCCCGCTGAGCTACCAGCTTGGCTTCAGCTACTGCAATATTGTACCTTTCTGAGGGGGCAAGAAGGGAAGTTTTCTCTGCTTCTGCCAGGCCTTCTGCTGTGGGCCTGGGGGCAGCAGAGGCACATGCCACCTTGCAGCAGCCTTAGGGGTGTTGGCTGCAGCCGTGCTGGCGTAAGGACACAGGCAGACAAGACTCGTTGGGGAAATGTTACCTCTTTTAAGACACTCCCCGTGCCTGAAGGTGTTTGTGCCGGAAAGCTTGCAGAGAACAGTTTTTCCAACAACTCGGTTGGTCTAATAAGAGAGATCACATCTACCCACAGAGCCCTGTCTGCCTTGCAGCAGCAGCAGCAGCAAGAACCCAGGCGGCCCCGAGAGCCACCACGGAGGCGGGAGCTGCAGAGCGGGGGCGTGCGCAAGGACCACTGCCGCCGCGCAGGCGTACTCCGCGCCCCCTACTACTCACGCGCCTGCGCAATAGCGCCGCGTAGAACCCTCTTCCCCCCCTGCGAGCGGCCCCCAGCCCAGAGCTCGCGG